CCGTTGTCCTGGTGAGGACCAATTCTGTTTTCCACTTTTGAGGAGAGGAGAAAGACTGAAGAGTTAGTAAAAATAAGGCAGCGCAAGACCCGGCAGCTCGAGCCATGATTATCACCCGCCCTCTCAGACGACTAATATCCGAGACAGTTCCATTCCCGACTTGCCCTCCTGAGACATGTCGGTTTCGGCAATCGTGGATGCGCCTGATAAACCAAACTCAAATACGAGTGGTGCCGATGACGACAATATTATATGAACAAGCGATTAATGAAAACGGTAATGCCAAAAGTACAACAGGTTGAGTATCATTTATCCGAAATTTCAAAATTCGAAAACCTCCAGGAATCCAAAAACATCCCAAAAAACTCTCAAATCTGAAATTCCCAAATCCGAAAACCTCCTAAATCCGAAAACCTCCCAAATTCGAAAACCTCCCAAATCCGAAAACCTCCCAAATCCGAAAACCTCTAAAATCCGAAAAACTCCAGAAACCGAAAAAATCCCAAATCCAAAAACATCTCAAATCCGAAAGCTTCCCAAATCCGAAAACCTCCCAAATCCGAAAACTTCCAAAATACGAAAACCTCTAAAATCCGAAAACATCCCAAATCCGAAAAACTCCAGAAACCGAAAAAATCACAAATCCAAAAACCTCCCAAATCCGAAAACCTCCAGAATCCGAAAGATTATAGCGTTACAAATAAAATGTTGACTTCTTTTTTTAATCATTTCACCCCATTCAGAAGATAGCGACTAACGTTGAATTTAAATTTTTGAAGATTATCGTTATCAGGGAAGCGAGTAAACGGAAGGGAATTCCGCTGTCGGGAAGTATGAGAAAAGAAACTGTTGGAGTAGAAATGGCAACTGCATTTAACTATTTCAACAGTAAAAGGGTGGGACCTAGATGCCAATCTAGTAGCACGCTTAAATTCACGTAGTCGGGACTCCAAGAAAAAATATTGACGATTTTCAGTTTTAATTACATTTAACTGTAATCAGCATCCATGTTTTGTTTTTTAGACAAATGCTGTAGCTGTATGTATTGTAACATTTTAATCAAAACACGACATTGTTGGTATAGAATGATAGCTTACCGATTTTTTCTTTCTCACCCTCACAGTGATGCTATCGATGATGTACCCTCTCCCCGAGTTTCTCACACCTGCTGTAAAAGTAGTTTTTGCTCATGCGCTTAATTATTTTTTGTAAGCAGTGATCTTTTTTTGTTTGTTTGTTTTTAGTGCACATACAGAAAGTACAAAACATTATTTTGACGTGAAATCTTACTTTCACCGCTTAAAAATCCGTGTGAGCATTACGACAAGCGTCATTACTTGTATCTGTATGTACACAAAATTCATTAAATTTTATATAAAACTACTTTCAAGGTCTATGTTATTTATATAAAACTACCTTCAGGGTATATGTATAAGCTAGGTTATGAAATGTAAAGGGCTTCATGCTTGTGGAACTCCCTACCCATTTCTTGTTTTCCTGATAGCTATAATCTCCATCTATTCAAATGTAACGTCAATCGACGTCTCTAGATGTCCTGATCTATCCCCTAACCTTCTCTTCATCCTTTCCTCTATCACTCCTCTTTGTTCACACTCCAACTCTGAAACCCTTTGCGAGCTAGTGGCTTCCCGCCTTGCATCGGGTTGAATGCTTAAAAAAAATATATCGTGTTTATGCTTGGGTTCCATTCTCAAGCTGCCCCATTTTATAGATTCTATATACAAGTGAGCTATGTAAAGTATCAGGTTGACAACTGACGCGGGCTAGCTGCCTTGATGAGGGTGAAAGGAGTCTCTCTGAGCTTTGGTTAGCAATCCTTTTACTGTTGGTTTCACGATAAAAAGACTTCAGATGGGAAGGAAAATTCATGACAACTTAACCCCGTCATTATATTGCATATGTCTGCCAAGAGGCGTGTACTGGCTAATATTGACAGTGGTCCGGAGAGGTTAAACTCCGTGATAATAACACATGAGGACTGTCGTTCGGGGTTTCTGTGGCTAAGTCTTTTGCACCGTTACTTTTTTATCGATAGATCCAAAAAGTGTGGATGGTCCAACACAAGCTTTCACCACTTGAAATAAATCATTGTGTTGGTTTTCTGACAACGACACCTAATTAGTTTTTTTTCTTTGTACACATACAGAAAGTACAAAACATTATTTTTACATGAAATCCTAATTTCATTACTTAAAAAATCCGTGTGAGCATTACATGACTAGCGTACTTAAATCTGTATTTGTATGTCCACAAAATTTATTACATTTTGTATAAAACTACTTTCAAGGTCAATGTTATTTATGTAGAACTACCTTCATTGTATATGGATGATCTGTATTACGATATGTAAAGGGATATCTTGTTTATTCTTGGGCTCCATTCTCAAGCTGCCCCATTTTATAGATGCTATATATTATGAAATGGACTAAGTTCGAAAATTATTTTAAAATATTTATTGTTTATGAGCTATTTTTATAGAAACAAATATTTAAGTAAATGCTCTATTTATAATAAACAGTATTAACAACATTTACTGTCGTGAATGTCCGAGAAATTTCATAGAAAATATGAATACTGTTTATTATAAAAACGTACGAGACAGTCTTTTTCTTTCTTTCACATTCTTTTCTTATTTCTTTTTATCATTCTCTTTCTTTATTCTTCTTTCTTTCACTTTCTTCTTTTCTTCCATTTCCTGTCCTGATCACGTCCTTGTTCTTTGTTTTAATCCTTTCTCCGCAAGCAAGGCAATAAAGTCACTAAGACGCAACAGGTTACTGAGTGTTAGCAATACAATAAAAATCTTGTGGCACCTTGCATTATTAGAAATATTCATAGAAATATGATTTAATTTTTTTTTACTCGGTTTACTAAACAGGTTGTTGATTTTTTTTTTTTAACGGAAAATAATTGAGTTGAAAATAATTCACTAAGATTGTACTTAGACGATCCTAAAAGAAAAGAAAAGAAAGAGGAAGAAAAAAAAAAAAGAAAGAAAAGAGAGTTGGATGATGCATGACCCAGTCATAAGCGAAGATAAGTGTCAGAAAGATATCTTGGCCTGCGTGTGGCCGAATTTTAAAGGACAATAGAGAATTGTTATTTGAAATGAAAAATCATTAAGAGGAGAAAAAGAACCAGGCTTGATGACAGTGTTTTGGCAATTGATAAGAAAATCGGTCAAAGCACCTAGCCTACTTTTGCGTGGAAAGACTCATTGTCAAATTGGAGAAAGGGAAATTCTTTTTAGAACAATAGAAACGAAATTTTTTTAATCGGAGAAAAAGTGTCTTTTGGGTTGAGGGGAGTGACCGGTGGAACTATATACAGATTCTGACCTATTAAGAATTGGAAACCCATGATAACAAAGTGGGGACATTTTCAATGTAGATAATTAAGATTTTCTGACTGTCGGGTCTGACAAAACAAGAGGTGAAAAAACGATTGTCTCAGTTCACAGATAGCGCCAATATTCTTCCCTGAAGTCACATCTAATTAGCGGCAGGCTGTTTTGACAGAGCCCAGGTGAGAAAAAGCCAAGATTGTCATTTTTTTTCGTACGTGCAAAAAAGGCAAAATTAGATTTTGTTTTTTTTAAAACAAGAACGATGTAAACCACGCCCAACCACAATCTCATTAGCCGAAAGCGGTCACGTGATATGCGGAAAGAAGAGAAAGGATGCTCGATCAAGAACCATTGGTCGGAAACGGTCACGTGATCTGCGGAAAAGAAGAGAAAGAAGTGCTCGATCAGGAATCATTGGTCGAGAGCGGTCACCTGACATACGAGGGACCGGGAAAGATGGGTGTGCGCCCCCCCACCAAGGGCACTGTGAGGAAGTAGGGGTGAAAACAATAGCGATAATGGGAAATCAAAAATAATGCGACTTTTGGAGTTATCGAGAAAACCCTGACGCCGACAGACCCACCCCAGTTTGTTGCGGCGTCAATAAAAGCAGGACCCCAGTCGACAGAAATCAGTTGGAGTGGAGTTGCAGCTGGACCGCGGGCAGGGATAGAGCCTGAACGCGGGCATCTGGCCCGATTCACTCGACCCTTTGCGGGCAAGAGAATCCTCAGACAAGAAATCCTTCCAGCCCAAATCGAAGAAGAAGAAGATTGCTCGCAAGCCTCAGAGAAGTTGCAGCCAAGTCGAAGAAGAAGATTGCTCGAAAGCCGCAGAGAAGTTACACCCAAGTCGAAGACAAGAGAACTTCCAGCCCAAGCAGACGAAGAAGATTACTCGAAAGCCGCAGAGAAGTTGCAGCCAAGTCGAAGACAAGAGAAGTTGCAGCCAAGTCGAAGACAGAGAAGATCCAGCCCAAGTCGAAGACAAGAGAAGTTCTATCTAAGTCGACGAAGAAGAAGAAATACAACTCAAGTCGAAGAGAGGAATCAACTGCGAATGATCGATAGAAATTAGCCCCAGTGTCGAACTAAACCACACTCCGACATACACAATTCTAAAGAGTAGGCAATTCGAAATCTTTAGGTTGTGTGATAGAAGCTTGGTGCCATAGTCCACAGAGTGGGTCGGGAAATAAGAACAATTTTTCTTTATGTAACGGACATTAGATATAAAAGGTTGTCACCCTTTTTTATCAGTAATTTTTTTGTCTCGCGAGTTCTTTTTTTCTTTTACTTGTGTTTTGCCACCCCGTCGGACTCAACTTGTATCGGCCCCAATCCTGCTGGTCCCGTCTGTCTAAGATCTAAACACAGCGTGGGTAGACAGACCGGAGATCAGTACAGTTGCTTCAGTAACCAGGTATTGGAAGCGAGTTGGGAAAGGCGAGGCTGGTGATCATCCAACCAAGGGGTTGGAGCGGCACGCTTGGAACCAGGAGGAGCGACCAGGAGGGGCGACGTCACAGTTGGCGCCGTAACCAAGGGATTCGACCCTGGGCCAGGTGTGTAACCGTCACAATCTGCTATTAAGGTTTTATGCGTTTTAATCTGTTTTTTTTTTTTTTGGTGCGTACGGCCATATCACATTGAAACACCGGGTCTCGTACTCTCGCCAAAGTTAAGCGGCATCGAGCATGATCAGTACCTAGATGGCTGACCACTTGGAAATACCAGGTGCTCTAAGTTTTCGGCGTGCGGTTAGTGTAATGGATGTCGGCGATATAGCCGAGTTCCAATTTTGTAATTTTTTGTACATATTCTATGTTTCTTCTCTTCCCTATAATTTTCCCTTTCAATTTCGTTTAGTTTTTCTCTTTATTTTATCATTTGGCCCTAGATCTTTTATCTTCTTTTGATTTGCTTTCCTCTTTTTTCTTTTCTTCCATTTCCTCTTCTCACCACGTTCTTTTCTTTTTTTTTTTTTCTTTATGTCTTTCTCATTCTTCATTTTCCTTTCTTTCACTTTCTTCTTTTCTTCCATTTTCTGTTCTCACCACGTTCTTTTCTTTTTATCTTTCTCTTCTTTCATTTTTCTTTCTTTCACTTCTTTTTCCTTCTGTTTCCTTTTCTCTTCCCGTTCATTTCTTTTTTCTTTCTATCGCTCTCTTTCTTCATTTTTCTTTCTTTCTCTTTTTCTTTTCTTCCATTTCATTTCATCGTCGTTGCTTTTTATTTTCTTTCTAACTCTTTCTTCATTTTTATTTCTTTCACTTTTTTTCTTTTCTTTTTTCCTGTTCTCTTCCCGTTCATTTCTTTTTTCTTTCTATCGCTCTCTTTCTTCATTTTTCTTTCTTTCACTTTCTTTTCTTCCATTTCCTGTTCTCATCACGTTCTTTTCTTCCTTTATGTCTTTCTCTTTCTTCATTTTTCTTTCTTTCGCTTTCTTCTTTTCTTCCATTTCCGGTCCTCATCACCTCCTTTACTTTTGTTTCTTTCTTTCACTTTCTATTTATTCATTCTCCTGTTCTCATCACGTTTTTTTTTTTTGTCTTTTTTCTTTATGTCTTTCTCTTTCTTCATTTTTCTTTCTTCCACTTTTTTCTTTTCTTTTATTTCCTACAATCGTCCTGTTCATTTCTTTTTTTTTCTTTCGATCTTTCTCTTTCAATATTTTTCTTCCTTCCACTTTTATTACGTGTATTTTTCCTTCTTTCCTCCATATTTTATTTTTTTGTTGTTGTTGTTCTATTCTCCTTTGTTGGTTTTTATTCGTTTTCCTTTACTTTTTCTTTTATAATTTCTTCCATTATTCCCCCCCCTACTTTTTTAATCCTTTCTTCGCAAGCAAGGCAATAAATTTACTCAGGCGCAACAGGTTACTGAGTGTTAGCAATACAATAAAAATATGCTATTAAGGGGATAGCACAATAATAATAATTTTTTGGCCTGGGTCCCCCATTTTTTTTTTTTTTTTTTCTCAGTATAGCTGTTGAACTTACACACGCCCGGGATAGTAAAGGCAGTGGAACATTGACCTTCACCCTTTATTCTTGTGGGACAAGAAATCGAGGCTAAAAATTCGATCTCGAGAGTTGGGATAGGGAAGACAGAAGCGACTAAGTCAAGTCGGGTATTATTTTTAGCTTAATATTTTGAGATTGGAAGCGAAAGTAATTGGCGGGAAGGAGATGTATTTCTTTTTCAATTTTACTATCATCAAAAATGGCGGAAGTAAATATCAAAAAATATTTTGTTCATCTTTAATAGAAGATAACTTGTCAGTACTGCAGTAAAATAAAAAGGTATTTCTAAAATCATTCACACTTTTTTTATCATTTCACACCACAAAAAGCCATTAAGACGCAAGAGGCTATTGAGTATTAGAGAATATGAGAAAAACTACTATTAAAGAAAGAGGACAAAAAAGAATAAAGATTAAGAAAACAGAAGATAACGACTGACATTACATTTAAATTTTGGAAGCTCAAAATTGACTGAGAAGCAACGAACCGTAAGAGAAAAATGAAAAATGAAAAAAACGATACGTGAAAAAAAGCGGGCTCTGTTTTTAAAGGCACAGATATTCGGATAACTTAAAACAATTATTTTGTTACTTATTTTAATGCATTAGTTTACTTACAATTATGATACGTATCTCCAAAAACAAAACAAAAATATGATACCTAAGATTTAAACTCCATTTTAAAAATGAAAAAAAATCCTTCTTGAAGTATTTATTTTTAATTCTAAGCTAATAGATTAAATTTAATATTCCCAGTAAGCAAAATAATTTGGTGTATTTCAAAACCGAATTTAAATTAGGACGCAAGAGGTTACCGAGTATTTGAGAATATAAGAAAAAACAATTATTAAGGAGAGAAGACAATAAAAATATAAGAATTAAGGAGACAGAAGATAACGACTGACATTGCATTTCATTTTTGAAGATCAAAGTTGACCAGAAAACAAGCAACCGGAAGTGATTTCCACAGACGAGAGAAGAAATTGTTAGCAAAGAATATTTTTGTTTTTCTTTTCTTTTCTTTTTTCTTTTCCGTTTTTTTTTTTTTTTTGCATTTCCTGTTACGGACATTTTTTATTTCCTTTCACGGTTTATTTTTTCTTTCTTTCATTTTTATTGCATTCCTTCTGACCCATAATAGTTGTTCCATTTGCTTATATATCATATCCACTAAATGTAAAATTATTAATGGGACAGTTATAGTATATTTCCTTTTAGTTTATTGACTTCTTCTTTAGCATTCTATCCTCCAGTATCTGTCTATATTTCTGAGATGAGGTATTCTGTACACTATTTACATTATTCGGACTATTGTCCTCATCTTTGTTGCCATATTTATTACGTTTCGGCATTTCAGTATCTGTCTATATTTCTGAGATGAGGTATTATGTACACTATTTACATTATTCGGACTATTCTCCTCATCTTTGTTGCCATATTTATTACAACGTTACGGCCTTTCAGTATCTGTCTATATCTGTCTATATTTCTGAGATGAGGTATTATGTACACTATTTACATTATTCGGACTATTGTCCTCATCTTTGTTGCCATATTTATTACAACGTTACGGCCTTTCAGTATCTGTCTATATTTCTGAGATGAGGTATTATGTACACTATTTACATTATTCGGACTATTCTCCTCATTTTTGTCGCCATATTTATTACAACATTTCAGCCTTTCAGTGTCTGTCTATATTTCTGAGATGAGGTATTATGTACACTATTTATATTATTCGGATTATTGTTTTCATCTTTGTCGACATATTTATTACAACGTTTCGGCCGTTGTACGCTCCGGCCTTCTTCAGCATCTGTCTATATTTCTGAGATGAGGTATTATGTACACTATCTGCATTATTCGGATTATTTTCCTCATCTTTGTTGCCATATTTATTACAACGTTTCGACGGTTGTACGATACGGCCTTCTTCAGTATATGTCTATATTTCTGAGATGAGGTATTATGTACACTATCTATATTATTCGGAGTATTGTCCTCATCTTTGTCAACATATTTATTACAACGTTTCCGCCGATGTACGCTCCGGCCTTATTCAGTATCTGTCTATATTTCTGAGATGAGGTATTATGTACACTATCTACATTATTTGGAGTATTCTCCTCATCTTTGTTGCCATATTTATTACAACGTTTCGGCTGTTGTACGCTCCGGTCTTCTTCAGTATCTGTCTATATTTCTGAGATGAGGTATTATGTACATTATCTACATTATTCGGACTATTCTCCTCATCTCTGTCGCCATGTTTATTACAACGTTTCTAACCCCGCCTCGACTCACCTTTTCCTACTTAAGTTATCATCATCATTGTTGTTATTAATCTTTTGCCTTATTTTCAGCTGCACCTGTTTTATTGGCTTATTGATTAAATTTGCTTTTTCTTTTGTCGTGCTCCATTTTATTGCCTTGTAAGTTTTCTTTTATATCATTCGACGATGATGATGTCGACGGAAAAACATCCACACAATTTTGTCAAAACCTTTCCCCGGTTGATTAAATATATTTCATTGAAATTTGGCGAAGACGGACGGGCAGGTTACAAAATCAAATAAGGAAATTTCTTTATTTTTTCTGTGTGGGAGGCACCTGGGTGTTTATGCGTGTCACTGCATGTGTGAGTGAGTGAGTGTATGTATGCGTGTGTATGCGTGAATGTGTGTGTATGTATTTATGTATTTGTGTGTGCGTTTGTGTGTGATAGTGTGTGTTTATGTATTTACGTGTGTCTGTATATGTTTTTGTGTCTGTATGTGTGTGAGTGTGTGTGTGAATATGTGTATGTGCTTGAGTGTGTGTATGTGTGTGAATGTGTGTATGTATGTATATGTGTGAGTTTGTTTATGTGTGTTTGTGCGTATGGGTGAGAGTGTGTGTATATTTGCATGTGAATGTTTGTGTGTGTGCATGCGTGGGAGTGTGTGTGCGTGTGAATGCATGTATGTGTGTAGGTATGTGAGTCTGTGTGAGTGTGTGTCGACGCCTGTGTGCATGTGAGTATGTGAGTATGTGTGTGAGTGTGTATATTTGTGTATGTGTGTATATTGGTGAGTGTGCGGATGTATGTGAGAGTCTATGTGTGTGAGTCTACAAGTCTGTGTATGTGCATGTAAGTGTATGTCTTTGTGCGCATGTGTGTGCATGTGTATATGTGAGTGTGTGTGTGTGTGTGTATGCAAGTGTGTGCATATGTGTGTGTGAGTGTGTGTGTGTGTGTGTGTGTGTCTAATTTTCTCATTCTTCTTTTAGGTCTTATCTCAAGCAGGCCTTTTAGCAATATACCAGATTAGTTATTATTTTTTTCTTTCAATTCATTATTTATGATTTATATCCAAATAGATTTTTGTTATTATTTTAAACAGGAGGTGCTGAAAAGTTTACCTGTCCGACCCTTCCAAAAACCAGACACCCAAAACATCATATATATATATATATATATATATATATATATATATATATATATATATAGTTGGATTGATGTCAGTTTGTGACCCTGGGATTCAAGTCATTGTGATCGTCAGACAAATATGTATATATATATTTATGTACATACATATTATGCATGCACACACACACACACACACACACACACACACACACACACACACACACACACACACACACACACAAACACACATACACAAACACACATATATATATATATATATATATATATATATATTGTAGAAAAAAACA